CCCTGCCCTCCCCCCCCCTCCCCGCGCCACGCGCCCCTCTCACCACCGACCCACCGCTCATGCGTCGCTCCACAGCGCCCTCTCTTGACCCATTCTCTCGTCCCCCCACCGCACCCCCCACCAAAAATCCTCACAAACAACACACCAACCAGGTTAAGGCGGAGATCGCCGACCTGAGGGCCGAGGCGACGCGCCTGCTGGACACCCAGCTCTCAAAGTCGGCCGAGGGCATCCGCAAGGAGCAGGCCGCCGCCGCCGCCGCCGTAACGCGCAAGCTGGAGGCGGCGCGGGGCACCAAGTGGGCGGCCAAGTACCAGGAGGACCTCGCCTTTGTCAGCTGGTTCGACGGCGCCGCCGCGCAGGACCCGGCCGGCGGGCCGCGCGCGGCGGCTGCATGAGCACGCGCGGCGCAGCGTGGTACGGCGCGGCGCGGCGCGCTGTGGCGGCGCGCTGTGGCGGGGCGCGGGCGCGTTCCGGCGCCCCAGGCTTGAGACTCAGATATCATGGTGGGGCCGAGTTGAGCTCGCCACACGTCAGCGTGCGGGCTGTGTGGTCGACTTTGTAATCCTGATGGTTGCGCGGGGGCTCGGCGTGCCGCTGGAGCTGTGTAAACGCGCGCGCGCCCCAACTCGTCGGCGCCCAGGCGCCCTGGTGGCAAGCAGCTGGACAGGCAGGATTACTGGGCATAGGGCTACCTGGGGTGCGAGCCATGGGGTAGGCAAGATGCTGCGTCGCCGCATGGTCGTCTGTGCTTGCGGGGAGAGGGGCAGCCCCCCAAGTGCCCAAAGGCCAGCCAACAAACTGAGAGCAGACCCTGGGAGCCACCTGCTCAACGCAGGATGCGGCCAGCCGTATCGATTCTGCACCCTGCAGCCGTGCAAATTAGACGCCTCGCGATAAGAGGTAAAGCTGGGCGGGCGGGGCCCCGTTGCGCGTGCAGAGTTGTGAGGGTGCAGGACAGCTGACAAGACACCCTCCAGGTGTGTGCAACATGAGTACCCGCTGCTGGCGCCAGCTGCAGCTGGCTCCCGATGCTATTGCCTGACAACTGCAGATGGGCGGGCAGCAGCACGGTGAAGACAGTTTTACAGATCAGTCCACTCCAAACGGAGGGGCATCATCAATGAGGGGAGAAGCGCTTTTGCCCTGCGCAGGAAGCATGCCTTGCGCAAGCAGCAAGTCTTGAGTAAACAATACACAGGTGTGTGCAATTGTTCCAATTGATGTGCAGTGTGTGCCTGCGCTGAGCGGCGCTGAGGAGCGCGCTGGCAATGACCAAGGGGCAAAGTATGCATCACAGCAAGCAACACGCGTTGAGGTCTGTCCACACGCGCACAATATGTATGTGGAAGGAGCCAAGACAAGCAACAGTTTTTCGAAAGGGTGTGGTAAAAGGCTCTCAGAGCGCCCTGCTGCTCACAAAGCTTTTTAAGCACAAAAAGGGGAGGTGCGCACTGGCCTGATGGGACATGAGTCACCAGGACCACAGGAAGGGCTTGTCACATGAATCAGTTGCATCCACGACAACTGCAGCGCATATGATGTCCATCGCATAGGACTTGGCTGGGGTTCGGACAATGCGTTGCAAATCACTCTTGGTTCCTAAAAGCGCACTCATCCATGTGCGCCATCTGTTTGGACGGCTCACAAGTGAGGCTAGTAACACCCGCCACGACGCAGCGCCCAGCCGGCAGCGTGGCGACGCGTCTGGCATTTGCGGACGGCGGCCGCGGCCGCGGCCTTACACAGTATTGGCGCGGATCATGTTGAAGCGCTCCGTATCGATCTGACAATAATTGCGAGGCCGGCAATATGGGGGGTGCAATTGTTATGGCAGGAATAAAGGTGGGGTAATGATGTGGCTGGTCACATGTCAGGCTTGAGGTGTGTTCAAAGGTTGACGCACACTTGCCTCACCCTGTTTCCTGCCCTGCCTCCTTCTCCCCTCCCATCTGCTCAACTCCTAGTCACGCGCCCCCACCCCCCCTCTTACCTGGCAGGCCCCGTTGATCCTCCTTCCCTCGTTTGACCAGCTGATGACGGCCTTGACCAGGTTCTTGCCGGAGATGAACTGCAACCAAGAATGTAAGCGCAATGGTCCAGGGTGAGTTGATGCACAGCGCAGGTGGCTGGGGGCCTCGGCGCAAGCCATGCATGGAGCTGCACGCAGCGTAATCGCACATACAATCACGCAGCCATTTGGAGTTCGGGTGGGGCACGTGTGCTCCGCAGTGCAGGCTGTCTGCCATGGACAGTGCGCGCTGACTTGGCGCAGCGCTGGCCACACCCGCAGCACATGGCTCCAGGGCACACGACTCACCATCGGCGAGCCCGACTGGCCGCCCGTCACGTCACACTGCGGGGTTGCGTGGTTGGGACGGGTTAGCGAGAGCCACAACAGAGTTCAAAGCAGACAAGCCATACACAGGACTTCATTCGCGGTGCCTTTTTGGTGGTGGAGTGAGTGGTGTTGCCAGGGCCCTCGAGGTTGCCTTGTCCACATCCCTGCAGTGACCCAAGACAGCGCCTGCACAGGCACGGCGGTGCACCAGCGTGATCGGCTGCGTGGCATGATGCAGGTCGACGCAGTTTGACCAAACAAGCGTGCGTTGGGCGGCGCTCACGGTCATCTCTGTGATGCCGTCTGTAGCCACGTTGTCGTTGACGCCGCTGCCAGAGCAAGGTCGGTCGCATGTGGTGGGTTATGAAAGGACGGACGCATGCACGCGCTTTGGTGCCCCACATGACGTCTGGCTGTCCAATGGGATTCGAGCGCAGCCCCTGGGCAGGGCACCTTTGGGGTCGACTGTTATGTTGGCATTTCTCACCATGAAGTGGTCCACATGCTGCCGTACGTCTTCTCGCCCGGGTACCTGTATCACCAAGCAAAGCGCGCCGGGCGTCATTTGTCGCCGCGGTGACGAAATACGTCTCGGCGTCCACGTGCTTGCGAGCTCATCAGCACCCTTAAGGTCGATCGCCGGCTGCAGGCGTGGTGCGGGATGCAGCTGCTGCGCGCAACTGACACTGGACAAGTGCGGTTGGAATGCTGCTGTGATGGCAGCATAAGATTGCAAGCCGTGTACGTGTGCCGTGTCGCAGGCTAACATCAGCCGATGCAGGGCAACTGTTTCGTGCCATGACTCACCCGTACGTCGTCCACGTCTCAGACAGCCTGCCAGTGGAGGCAGTGTAGCCGAGGTTGCCAGTCGTCTTGCCAATGGCCGACTGAAGGTTGACAACGCCGCTGTGTGTGTGTGTGTGTGTGTGTGTGTGTGTGTGTGTGTGAGAGTGTGTGTGCGCGTGCGCGCGCGCGCGCGCGTGTGTGTGTGTGTGTGTGGGGTGTGTGCCCTGCACAGGCTGTGTGTAGGGGGTGGCTGGCGAGTGAGCAGCATGCATGCATTAGACCTGCCCCAACGCCCCGCCCAACGCCCAGCAGGTGGGGGACCGGTTGGCAGCACACGGCCACCTCGAGCTTTCTACGCCTAGAGCGGGTGCACACAACAGCGCAGAACAAGCGCCGGCCTTGCGCGCGAAACAACTCACAGGTCGTAGGCGAAGGAACTCGCGGTGATCCAGCCCTGCCATTGGGAATGGCGCGCCGGCGCGTGCGACAAATTTATTTGCGGCAGTGGTAATCCAGGCTCGGGTACCTCCACAAGCCGTTCTCTTGACGAGAGTCGCAAGCTCCTGGCTACGCGTGCACCACCGCATCCAGTCAGGACAGACGAGTCTCGATCCCACTGGACAGTCGCGCCCGCCGCCTGCGTCAGCCCAGGCACGCCGCCCCTGTCCAGCATGCCTGTGCCAAGCAGCGCGGCGCCGTCGCAGCCTGTTCACCCCGCTCACATTCGTGGTGACCAGCTTGCTGTACTTGACTGTGCCGTAGGGGTTGACCACGGTCCTGCTCGTGGCAGTGGTGGTGGTGCGGCCCGGAGAGAACGCCCAGGCCCTCACAAAGCCACCGCCTGCGCGCGCAGCGCGAGTGTCGGTCCCGTGCGTGAGGGAGGCAGGTGGGTTGCTGTATGAGACCCGCTGCCGGCGAGAGCACGTCGCCGCGTACGGCGCTCGCGTGGCGCACTCCAGCAGGCTCGCGGCCGACAGCACGGCCTTGCAAGCTGGGTCGGGGTCTCTCTGTGGGGCAAGGGTGCCCTGCTAAAGGTACATGCGTGCGGGGTGCCCCGCCCGTCACCTCTGCCGGTGTGCACGCAGTGGCCGGCGGTGAGGACAGTGGACGCGCCGATCAGGGCGCCGGAGCAGATGGAGTTGCCGCCGTTGCGCTCACTGAAATCAATCTGCCCCACCGCGCGCGCGGGGAAGTTCCTGGGGGTGGTAGCACGAACACAGGGTGTGCCGGCAGGCCGGAAGCATTTATCGGTAAAACAAGCGTAGCTTCAGCATGCAAAACAAGCCAATCAGGGCGGCGGGTGCGGCGCATGCCATGTGCAGGCTCCAGTGCCTGCAGTTTTGGCCCACACCGCTGATTCAGCGCCGTCGCATCGCGGGCCGCCAGCTGTCGTTTGCAAACCGTGAAGCTCAAGGCCTCGCCCCCCCCCCCCACCTGTTGACCCGGGAGGTGTCAGTAATCAGCTGACGGTCATCCTTGTTGATGACGACGTTCGGCTGCGCCACGCTGCCCGCGGCCGCAGTGGCGTTGGCATCCGCCGCGGCGAGCGCAGCGCCGCCGTCGGCGGCCTCAGATGGGGCATCTCCTGGGAATGGCGCAACGACCTTGGACCTGCCGGCCGCGGCGGCCGCGCGGGCGGCGGCGGCCCGCGTGGCCTTGGCGCCCGCCTGGAACAGCAGCAGCGGCGACGCCGGGTCCGCCGGGTCCGCGGCGGCGGCGGCGACCAGGGAGAGCGCCCACTTCTTGCCGCCGTTGCGCGCGATCTCGACCTTGGCGGCGCGCTCGCGCGTGGGGTCAAACTTTGGGGCGGCGGCGAGGGAGGCGGGGTCGGCCTCCTTTGCAAAGCCCACGAGGGTGAAGCCGGTGTCTTTGAAGCGGGAGGCCATCTCCGCCGTCACAACGAACGGGCGGGCGGCGGGCGCCTCCGGCGCAGCGGCGGCAGCGGCGCCGGCGGCCGCCCGCAGCGCGGCGCGGCGGGTCGAGACTGGGG